TATTATTATTATTATTATTATTATTATTATTATTATTATTATTATTACTATTATTATTATTATTATTATTATTATAAATGACTATGTACCTAAATGTTCTATTCTCATTTGTCTGTAAGAAAACATATTTCTGTAGACCAAATAAATAAATAAAAAAACCAGAGCTTTTTTAAAAAATCGCAACGGATAGATCGACTCGAAATTTAATTATCTTTTATTAAAAAAAAAAAAGAAACTTGAAATCGGTTCAAATTGGGGCTCTCAAAATTATAGCAAATTTTTTTTCACTTTTATTTCAAAATATTTTGATTAAAAGAAAAATACGGATAAAAATAAAATATTTCACACCAACAAAAAAAATATATAATCGATAATCGCATTTGCCTGAAAATTTTAAATTGCACTTAGTAGTATTGTGCTACTAGGATAGTACGGCCGAGTAATCATAGTCAACTTATGTACAGTAGACTGTACATACAACAGTACCCCATACAAAAGAAACCGGTACAGTTTTTCCACTGGAATAATAAAATCTATTATATTTTAAGACTTCCACCAAAATATCTCGCAAAAATTTTAAGATTTACGTGAGCTGGACCGATTTGAAAATACCTCCAAAAATTTAGTTTTTAATTAATAAAAACAGTTTTTTTAATGTTTTAAAAAAATTTTCTTCGGAATCATAATAATGAGATTTTTGATGCTGTTTTTGAACGTTTTTCAAAGACTGTTTTAAGAAAAACTTGAATAACTCAGCCAAAACCTTACCAATTTAGACTTTTGAGTAGGGAACGGATTTTTAGGACATAAAAACTTATAAAAAAGGCAAAATAAAATAACGAAATAGGCTAGAAAAAGCAAAATAAAAAAGCAAAATAGGCAGGAAAAGGCACTAGAATATGAAAAAAGGCAAAAGAAAGTATTAAAAAAAGACAAAAGAAGGCACTGAAAAATAATCAAAAAATACATTTATTTTAGAAGTATTTATTTTACAAGAAAAAAGTGAAAAACTATGAACTATTTTCATTATTTTCTCTGCTTTGGCCAGCACCATCATTATCAAAGTTAAGATTTGCTGAGATAATTGAGAGAAATAACTAAACACAAGATGTTTTTTTTGTAGAAAGGTTTCTACATTAT